TGTCATTAATAAAATTATCATCTAGTGCATAGAGACGTTTGTCAGTTTTAGAAGTTCTTCAGCAACCTTGGGAGGAATACTATATTGTATATATTACCTGGAAAGTAAGTTATCCCCCCCCCTCCCCCGCCACTAGAGAAGCTGAAGGCAGCAGATAGCTCCTCGCTGATATCTGTAAGGGGCACTGATTCTGGAATAACTGAGGCAAATGAAAAATGGTGTTCAGAACTCATCCACGTGTGGGAGAGTGATGTCATTCAGGCTTGAGGCACTGTTCCAGCCAGAATACCCGAACTCAAAGTGGTAGTTGTGCATCCTGCTGTGGAACACTGGAGTTGCCACGTTTTCTCCCTGTTGCTCAAGCTTATTCCATGAGTGTCCTGGTACTGCTGTGAGCAGTATCTAATGAGTCCTGGTACTCATATCATTCAAATAAATTAACTGTTTTTTATATAATATAGTCAGCATCAACTTCCAAAGCTTACAACTAATACTCGCAACTTTTATGTACACAAACCCAAACATAACAGGCTTCTTATTGTTCCTTCTTCCGGGCACTGGTGAAATACTTGCAATCTGAAACCTCATATCCTTTTGTACTGGGGAATTTTCTAGGATTGATTCCAGGCTTTATGTTCCTCGCTCTTCTTTTTTCTAGATGAAGCGAGACATCAGGATGACAGCTATGCAGAAAGAACCACTGCTTGTTGGCCCAAGCCAAGGTTCTAGGGTAACGTTTTCGGTAGATGAGATTGTTGCAATATCTACTGCATCACAGAGGATCTGGAGCACTCACTTAGACCACTGGTGAAGACTCTGAGGTAAATTTATGGTGAATACAAAAAGAGTAAGCTAAAAAGAGATAATTACTAACTCTAGGTGGAAAAAAAGTTATGTAGGAGAGAAAGCACAATTGTTTTTATCATATGATTCAACTGAGAAGAGTGTTGGCAAGATCATAAAAAAATAAATGCCCAATATTTAAATAATCAAAATTTTGATATAAATATTTTGGAAGAATAGGTACATGAGAAGAGTTTGCATGTGTGGTGAGCTTGTGGATAGGAAGACATCTAATTCAATAATGTCTAAAATTGGAAAAAAATCTGGTAGTGATATAAACATGCTATTCAGAAAAGTAGAGAGAAATAAAATAATCAATCAGAAGAAGTGAAATTTCTTGTCTCAATGGAGGGAAAATGGGAAGGGCAGGAACTACGATTTTTTGCAAAACACCCTTGTATAGCACTTGGACTATTTGAACTACGTGCACTTATAAGATGCACCAAATGTTGCACTGAGATACAAGTTACAAAGTGTCAGTGGTTTGAATTTTTTTCTGCATTTAACTCTCCATGTTCACAGTATTCCGTAGGAATTTTCCCCTAATATTCTTAGATGGCAAATGAAACTAACGATCATAGAGCTCTGCATTTTATTCATTCACGCTACAGAATACAGTACATCAAGGCAAACATTTGCATACCCTACAAAACCCAAGAGTCTGAAATTACACATAAAACTGGGAAAAATGTTCTAAAGAGGGTAACTATGCAACTTACCATTCAAACGGGGACAACAGGCAATAAATGGAGATTATTCCAGACATTTATCACCCATATCCCTAAATCAGATCTTTTCTTACAACATAGTTAGTGCTTTGAATCTAGAAAAATAGAATATGTAAACATACCTTGAAGAATTATAAAATTTCCTTAGAAAGCACTGCAGTTCATTTTAGAAGCCACAGTTCTGCCTCTTGGATCACTAGCAATAGAAAAGTTTTTTTAAAAAAATCTTGTTTCTGTCTTTCAGATAAGTGTATAAGAGCCCAGAGACTTGGCTTAGAATAATTCCAATAAACCAGACCAACGAGAAAATATACTAACTTACGCAAAAGTCTAAAGGTGAAGGTCAACACTTTCTAGATATTACATTCTAATAGTGGCCAATCTAATCATGGTAATAAAACAATTGTTACATGTTTAATTGTTTTATATTTCTCAAAAATATCTTCTTATCACTATTGTGGAAAGAAGCTAAACTTCATACTCATAATTTAGCACCTCCACTTATACTTTATAAGCATCTTAATTCTACAGTATCTTAATCTTGCTGAAATTTTGTATAAACAGTACCAAATACAGCACATTATTATAAATCAAGGAGAAGCGTTTTGATTAGAGTGATTTCTAATTACAATGTGGACTCTACCAATTCAGAAAATTACTGCAATGCAGTTGCAGTTTTTATTTAATATAGTTCTATATAAACCAACGTAACTTGGATGTTTACAATAAAAGTAAACCTATTAAAATTATTTTTAATTTTCCCTACATTATAAATTGATAATCAATATGTTTTAAATTTATATGTATAATATTTTAGTAATAAACTGAATTACTTAAAACATTCTATAAATTTGAATATTTACTAATTAAAAATTATAGCCTCATCCCCCTGCCTCCCATCCTCTAAGCATGATTACAAGTTAATGAAATCTCTCTTCTATTCTCTCAGCATGCATAAAGACCTTTAAATAATGTTTCAAGGTCTCCCTGTTGATAATATAATCAATACCTAGTCATTGTAGGTTAATGAGATGCATTCTTTCCCTGACAAAACTGTGTACTCTATAATGACATTTAACAAACTTATCTACCTTGTCATCACACAGCAATTCCCTTTAATTGGTTTCTTTAATATAAACATTAAAATAATGGCATTCAAAGGAAACACAGATTTTTATTTAATGTGTTATATATATCAATATAAATTATATATGTAAAAAGGAATCTTAGGAAGCATCTTGCTTCCTAACTAGCACCTTGCAAAAAAGATTTAAAACATAAGTTTGATTCAATTCTTTTTTTTTTATAATTTTATTTATTTATTTTTTACCCCAAAGCCCCAGTAGATAGTTGTATGTCATAGCTGCACATCCTTCTAGTTGCTGTATGTGGGACGTGGTCTCAGCATGGCTGGAGAAGCGGTGCGTCGGTGCGCACCTGAGATCCGAACCCGGACCACCAGCAATGGAGCGCGCGCACTTAACTGCTAAGCCACGGGGCCGGCCCTAGTTTGATTCAATTCTGACCTTTTATTCTGGGGATCTGTTTTGATCTGTTTCTTTAGTAACAACCAGAAGAGTAGGTACACAGATTAGGAAAAAAACTATGTGTGTGTGTGTGTATATACACACACACACACAATACATATAGCATATACCTTATATACATATATACACCATATATATGGTATATATAATATATAGCAGGTATAGTTACATATATACACATATATACATAGTTAGAGGTACAAAACTCTAGCAAATTAGGTACAATATTAAAGAGATCACAACGAAAGTGCTTTGTTAAGTAAAGACATCCAGAGAAAGAAAATGAATGAACAGAATTTCAGCAGTGTAAAAGCTGAGAGTGTACCAGGGTCAACAGGGGAAGTCAAGTCAGAGAACTTTTAGCAGGGTTTAAGAGGGTTCTGCATCCTGGAAAGATCCTGAGCTCTGCAGAGAAAGAATATATAGAAAAGAAGAAGTGACAGAGTAAATAGTTCTCATAAATATTTTGAATGAGAGATTTTTTTTTTTAATTAAAACACCCATGGAAAAAGAGACAAGTTTCAAATGTTCTGGAGGCTTTGCAACACTTGAGTGGTTTGCCACAAAAGTCCCCCATGAAACCACGACTAAAGGCCACCAGGACAATGACGCCTGGCTGTACTGTTCTCATCCCCCAGTAGTCATTTTCCTGTTAAAATGGGTTTACATTTCCCCACATTGCAATGGTAGAAAGGTTTTACTTCTCACCTGTATTAGACATTGAGAATTTGGTTATTAGAATCTTCCAGAAAGTAATATTTTGATTAACTTTTAGGAAAAAGAAATAGTTTATTTTTTAAATGATGCTAAGTTTGCTTCACCATGCAAACTGACAGATTCAGCCGTGGAAACTTTCATAGATCTGATATAGTTAACACAATGGTAGATCGTTTTCTTCTAAACCACCTTCCAGCTTTGTTACACTAATGTATTTGTGGAAACACTTCACGATCCAGACATAAAGATCTCTAAGCAAACAAGAAAAAAATGAGAGCTAACTCTTCTTGCATGAACATAAGCAAGTACATAGCTGGGAAGTGGTCATTTTTATTTTTTCCCCCCAAAACATGTAGAGACACTGACAATTTCTGTAATTCACAGAATAATTGCACTATTTGGTGTGAATGGTATTTAAAGCTAAAATCATAAAATATCCACTGACTTGCTTAAAAATGTAAATTACAGCTTAGAATCTATCTAGACAAAATGAGAATTTGGTTTTGCTTCACTTAAGATTATCATGAAAAGTCCACAACTTTGATACTTATATGCAGTTTTCGTGATGAATCTTTTACAGATGAGGATCTTTTAGAGATGAGTAATGAATAGTTGAGACACCATGATCACTATGTTTGGTAATGACCATTGTAGTTTCAAGATGACCATAACCATTACCGAGTTTCACAAATACTTTTCATTGTTTGCCTCCATCTAGAATGTGGACAAGGCAGGCATGGTCTCTAATTGCTCTGTCAGTGATATCACCAGGGTTATCTTCGGCCAAACTGTGAAGCAGGACAAGTTTCTCTGTGTATCGTCCCATTTTTTGATCCCTTTTCCTCCTTCCTGTACCCTCCCAATGCTCTTCCCCCTCACTTTTCTATCCTACCACCCTATACCACCACTATCAGCTATCATTCTTTTTCTTAGACTTCACATAATTATTTAAATAATAATAATAATAATGCCTAGGTACCTAACCCTTTAGAGAGAATTTATATATTAAAAATAATTCTCAAAAGTAGAAAATAATTCAATATCAAAAACATTGTTATTATTGAATCGTCTACTACACTTGCTGATAAGGTTAGTCCAGGGATAGTGGCAAGAATTCTGTATGGAACTGGAGAGGAATTTATTTGAGAATAGAAAGGGAAGAGACTTCCTTGTCACATTTCTCTTTCTCTTGACCAGTCATTTATTCTGCCAACTACTCTTCTGGACTAAGCTGATAAAGCAGATTCTAGAAGTAGGGAGAGAGGGAGCTAGTCTAAATCCACCCGCATATTCTCTTTTTAGTTGGCTAACAAGAAATATCTTGAAATGTCACTGCAGTCCACATTTGTTGGTAACCAGCGCAGCTTCCAGGCTCCTCTTCCCTTCTTCTAAAGACACTCTGAATTTCCCAGTACTCTGCTTTGGCTCCACTCCTAGCTCTAGAGATGAACCCTTAATCGACTTCATCCTTTCTGGCCATGATGACTGTTTAATTATGGGCAAATAACCAAATTTGTTTGCTCCATCAGAGAAGAAAACTCTCGACTAGACAAAAACAAGGATGATGAATTGCCAAGAGTTGTCGGCAGTCATCTTGGAAACACAAGAGAAATGCCTAAATGGGAGTTAGGCTAACTCTAAGAAGTGGATCCAACATGGTGAAAGAGGATGCAGAAACTGGGTTATGCCTATACTTAATTCTAGACAAGTAAGCCCTGATAAATAACTCTTGCCTCAAGATTGCTCTCCTCTGGATTGTTCCATTACATGGTTCAATAAGTTTCCTTTTATGTATAAGGTAATTAGAGCCAGGTTTTCCAAAACATTTCTGCTAAGAATGTTCTCTAGGTAATGCAGTATTTTTCCTATCAAATGAAATAAATTCAGTCAACTGGTATCCAAGGTAGACTGAGTAGTGGGAAGAAATTGTATAAAGATCCATGTACATAATAGTCATCATCATTTGCTCAGATCAAGGAAAGAGCTTAGACTCTAATCTTTGGTCTACGAGAGAAGGTTGGGTAGTTAACATAAATATCCTCTCTTGCATCATCTGGCGGTTGATTGGTAAACATGGGACTTCTGTAATTGTTGGCTGCCTAGAAAGACAAACAGAGAAGATGTCAATAATTCACTGCATTTCAGCAACTAATGAAGACACTCAAAACATAAATCTCTCCTCTCCTCAATTCAACCACAATTATAGGTCAAAATTCTATTCGAATAATTTCATAAAACATTCTCTTCATTGTATTGAACTTCTATGAGAAATCGTATTCTTGGTTTGCAGGGCTCTGAGTGAGATGCAACAGGAACCTAGCCTAGATCGTCGTTTGTTATAGTGTGTTATGAATTACTGCTTACATGTAGAACTCCCTCTCCCAATGTTAGGCTATTTTGATGAGAACAATTATTCTCATTTTTTATATGGAAATTCTAGTATAGTATTTTCCCATAGTGGGTACCCATTAATTTCTGCTGAAAGAATGTCTTAATTAAAGAAATATTTTAAAGTACACAGTGTCCTGGCTTAAAAATAAGCAACTGAACACCATAAAAGAAATTACCAAAACAAACTGACATTCACTTTCAAGATGATGTTACACAATCATTAATCTTCTCTCTTAATAAAGTCACTTTGATCACTGGTACACACGTGTGACAGGAAATATGTAGGCATGAGTAAATGAGAGAAAGAAAGAAACTGAGAGGAAGAGAAGGAGAATGAGACAGAGAGGTTTTTTTAGCGAGCAGTTTGGAAATTTAGAGTGGTTTTGGTGTTTGCAAGAAGAAAGCAAAAGGAAAGTTCAAGTGCCATTGTTACTATATAGCCTGTTTAAAAAAAAAAAAGAATTGGTAGCTCTCACCTCTTTATCTTTCACAGTCCAACTTACTAACTTTCTAATCATCCTTCAAAACAGCATTATTCTACAATAGCCTGAAAAAGTTGAATACCTAATGTAGGAAGTCGCAAAGCTCCTCTCCTCCTCTGAAATTAATAGCAATAAATTTGGCTTTGGATTGGCTTGAGTGGACAACAGCTAAGGACAAAGAAGGGATCCAAAAATTGTATATGACAGAGCACTGTTTTAGCGCATGCTGGAGTGGCAGAGGAAACAAGACAAGATTTCTTGAGTCTTTGCAATTGATGGCAAGAAGCAAGCCATGAATTATTCAGAAAAAAATTTTGTTTTGCAAAGAGTAACTACTTAATAGAAGAAAAAAGTTAAACTGACAGATTATTAAGAAGTCTGAAGCTCACATATTGGATTATCAGAAACTTTTTAGTGCTTGACATTTTGGCCATGTAGAATTCAATTGCAAATAATTAAGTTGAAAAAAAAATGGATGTAATTTTAGATACCACTTGGGGAAACGTTTTGTTGTAAAATTTTGTAAACAGATAATACGTGTTAAAGATAATTGACTTATAGTGGAGATAATGAGCATGAAATAAGCATCACTCTTATCTGCAAAGCCAGAAGGAACTTTCCACTCTTTCAATAAACAATAAGGGTCAGCAGCAAGGTAGTGTGAAACAATGTTACAGTTCATCAGACTCCCGCAGCCAATCAGAAATTTCTTTAGCTTTATAATCTGAGCATTCACGAATTAATAAACTATTCCAAACATAATAATGATAATGAATATCATGTATTGTGTATGTGCTTGCTATGCTTCAGGTGTTTTATGTAGTTTAATTTAATCCTCACAATAACCTTATGACATAAAAATATTGTTATGCCCTATACTGGGTCTGATAGCATTCCCCCAAAATTTATGTCCTTCCCAGACCTTCATAATGTGATCTTATTTGGAATTAGGGTTGTTGCAGATGTAATCACAGTCGTACATATCTTAACAACACGGATATGTTCTGAGAAATGTGTCATTGGGTGATTTCATCGTTGTGCCAACATCACAGAGTGTACTTACACAAACCTAGAAGCAATAGCCTACCACACACTTAGACTATATGGTACTAATCTTACGGGACCACCATCATATATGCAGTCTGTCATTGACCGAAACGCCATTATGCAGCACATGACTGTAGTTATGATGAGGTCATACTGGAGTAAGATGGTCCTTAGTCCAATATGACTGGTGTCTTTATAAGAAGAGGAGGAGAGACACAGGTAAGCATGTGTGCACGCACATGCACACACACAGGGAAGAATGCCACGTGAAGACAGGCAGAGACTAGAGTGACACGTCTACAAACCAAGGAATGCGAACGACTGCCAACAACCACCAGGAGCTAGGAGAGAAGCATGGAACAGACTCTCCTCCCAAGAAAGAACAGATCCTGCTGAGACCTTGATTTTGAACTTCAACCCTCCAGAACTGTGAGAGGAAAGATTTCTATTGTTTTAAGTCACCCATTTTGCGGTAATTTTATTGTGGCAGACGTAAGAAACTAATATAGATTTTGGTAATACTGAATGTTTATTATTATTATGATGTCAGTGTAATTGCACCTTTACTTATATTAATGTAAAACAGTTTCAAAGGGCATTAATAATAGGAGAATAATAGTTCAGAACATAACTGATACTTGAGTAGCTGATACTTGCATTACAGGCAACTGCATGACCAGGTTATTGAAAGGAGAATGGAAAAGAAGATTGCTAACTGCAAAATGGAAGGACTTTACAAGACATTTATGATGCACAAAGGGAGGAAAAGATGACAATTCTGAGAAAACTTACCTTATTCTGTGTATCCCAGGACTCTTTAACTAGAACACTTTGCTGTCTCCTTTTCCCTCTGGGAATACATATTCAATAGATGCATTAAGAATTACACTCCAGCACTAGTATTATTTCAAATGCTTTATACCTTACCTGTCCCACAGCCCACAGGCCCTTACTAAATATGCTGAAGTAATATCCACAGTTGCTTTATACATACTTATCCAAAATTACATTGACCTAAATTTTTCATTTTCCCTAACTTCTACAATGGTGAAGGCAACTAAATGGATATCCAGCCACTGTACATTAGTAAGTACAATTGAAACTTCCTTTTAAATGCCAATGGTGTAACTTCTTAGATGACAATGATAATATAATTAAGCTTTACAGAATCTTCCAGGGATTTTATTAAACCACTTGTATGGATTATTTTATTTCGATTTCATCAAAAACTCTATATTTTACAAATTGAGAAACTGAGGCATAGAGAGGAAGAGTAACTTGCCCCAAATCACATGGTTGGTTAGAGGTAGTATTGGGATTTGAATCCACAGCCTTCCTCTTGACTATTAGGCCCTACTGTTTCTGGAGTCACGTTGCTGCAGTTCAATGGGCCACATAGAGCCATACTATTCATTAAACTCTCCACAGTTTCAACGAAATCCACAAAAACCTAACTTCAGGAGGAATCTTTGAAAAGAAACTACAAGAGAAGAAGAAAGAAGCAAGGTAATTGAATGCAATAGATGAAATAACCGTATCCAAGTGTATGGAAATAGTTATTACGGGAAGATGGTAACTATCTCTTTTCATCTCCCTGAAGAAAAGATTCTTATTGAACCACAGAAGAGATGAGTTAGACACAAAATGTAGCATTTTTTCCTTCATGGAAAAAGATGAAGTTATAATTCCTTCATGGAAATTTTGAAAACCAGGCAATCTAGTCTCGCTCCAAAGAAAGGTTGTTCAGATGATGGATGTTGTCCCTAATGGTCTCTTCTAGTCGCTATGAAATCCTCCTACTGTGTCAACATAATCACAAACTTGTCTTATTTTATGTGCATTTATTTGTTTGCTTATTAAATATTATTAATTACTTTATTTATTTGATGTGTAAGTTTACTACGTGCAAGTCATGTTTCTAGATATTTTGTATAAGTTATTTACTCCTCAAAAGAAATCTGTGATATACATGCTATTATTACCTTCTTTTAGAAATGAGGAAACAAATGAGACACAGATCTGTGACCTTTGATCTTTTGTTAAATCATGGTTCACAAGCCCTTCTATATCATAACATAGAGATAACTTTCCCAAATAGGTCTAAATATATATATATATATATATATATAAAATAAATACATATATATGTTTTGACATAAGCCTAGAGTATACAACGTGATGAAGAAAAGAGACCCTTAAGCTTAGAGTCTGGGATCTGTGTTTAACTTGTGCTCTGCAATTGACTAGTTATTTTCATCTCTGAAGTTCAGTCCTCTCATCTGTAAAATAAAGACAGTAAACATAATGTGGTTCGTTCTAGGTTGACCAACCGTGCTGGTTCACTTGGTCCTAAGGAGTTTCCTGAGATGTGGGATTTTCAGTGCTGAAACCAGGAAAGTCCCAGGCAAACGAAGACCACCTATTTGTTGTGAACATCAATGCTGACAACAAATGTAAAAAGAAGTGTCCAACATTTTGCTCCCTAAATATTAAATTTCTTCCTACAAACGCAGGTGTCATTCTATAGACTATATCTTGGCTCTGTCACTCTTCCCAGAGCTCCGTACTTCCCCAGCCGTGTTCACTTGATAGTTTCACTGTTCTGATCTCCAGCTGAAAACAACACACTGGGAGTAGAGAAAAGCTTCAAATGCTTCTGGACACACAGGCTCATAGGCACCAGGTGTGAAGCAAGAATTCAGTTTTGTCTCAGCACACTCTGACTTATTTTGATTTCTATCCAACTCAGTACATCAGAAGCGGCATGATTGTTTTAAACGGTTGCTAAGATAGAGTTCACAAGGTCATTGGTTAAGCCCTTGGGTCATTTTTCATAACATTTCCATTCTGAGTAATAACCACAAACCAATACTAGTGACAAGGTAGAAAGAACAAGTGCTCTTTCCTTTGTGATGTTCAGCCATGATTATGCATTCAAGTCCACTAATCTTTTTATCACATTTAACCAAGTGGGACAAAATATTCTACAGTTCAATTTAGCTATTCATGTAAAAGTGATGCATTTCATGAAGCTAAATCCATCATGTCCAACATCTGTGACCCTCCACAGATCCATTCTGTCACTCACTCTCTCTTAGTCATGTTGTCCTTGTTCCCATGTGCTCCTGCTCTCACTTCTGCCCTCAGTGCATTTTTTATCAACCAAGGTGAAGGAGTAGAGAAATCCTCAGTGTCACTAACATCCTGGGTTCCTTACCTCAATTTGCTAATTTCTGACCAGGGAAAGACTTGAGGGCAGCCGGCGATGGAGAGAAAGCAAAAACAACAGTTTCGTGTTTCAATTTAATTAGAAAAATGCTTATCGACCATCCGTTATTTGGAAAGATTAGCACTAAATGCTATCAAACATTAAAAAATGAATAAAACACAATCCCTGCCATTAGGAATAGAAGGGAAGACAAGCATAAAAATGATTAAACTACAGAGCAGGCTGTGAGCTGTAGCAGATAAGAAGTACATGTGATTCCAGACGGTGACATCATGTCTCTTTGCAGGGAGGGAGAAGCAGCGTAGACTTCCAGAGGCGACATGTGTCCCACACCTTGAATGACACCTGTCCCACAGGATTAAGACCAAAGATGGAGAAAACAGCATTTTGGTGGCATACCAAATGGGAAGAGAGTCGAGTGTGTTCACAGGATAAAAGTTGCAGTTGTAACAAAATTTGTCACCATCGGAGAGAATAAGTAAAGTAGAAAATATGAATGAACATTAGGTTGGGCTCAGAAAGTAGGGCACCTCTAATGACAGGATTAATGGGTTTTACCATTTTTCTAGTGGCAGTGGGAAGATAATGAAAGGTTTTAAACAAGAGGCTGACCTGGCCAGTCTAGCTTTTAGAAGAGGAAGAAGGAAAAATCAGATGGGTTAGAAAGAGAGGAGATACCTGGGGGCAGGAGAGCAGATTGGAGAGTATTACTAAAATCAGGTGAGCCATGGTAAGAGCCTCCGAAGAGGGAGAGGCTGGGGAGACAAGATGGAGAAGCCTACTGGAAATCTTATCAATAAGCATGCATGTGCAAGTGTGGGTGTACTTAGCACTCTTCCTGAGGGGGGAGAGACGAGTGGAGACAGATATACTCATTCACTCAAAAAACATATATTAAGTGTCTACAATGCGCTAGATGTGCAAAATGTGGACATCAAACGTTTGGTCCTTTCCTCCCTTAAGAAGATGACACGTTAGTTGGAACACAAATGGAAGGAGGAATTCCAACCCCATATGATTACAGCTCAGATTGCAACAAATACCTAGACAAGCAAGTGGATGAACATGGGAGAACTAGAAAGAGTCAACCAAGAAGACCCTAGAAAATTCCCAAGTGTGCCACAAGACAGTAAAGGTAAGAAACTTTGGTAGAGGCCAAACGGCCACCTGCTCTCTCTAGGCAGCCCCTTCCAACCCCTTTCTTCCTCAATAATTTTTAATAATACTACCTAGATTGCTGGTTTCAGAGAATAGACAATCATTTAAAATTATGTTGTTTGCTTATTAGAACGTGCGCTTCGTTACGCCGTCTTCTCCACTGTCACAATAAATATTTGATGACTGAATAAATGAAGATATTATTACTGTTCAATCCTGTTCTTCCCCTTCTCAGAATCTCTCTCTCTCTGACACATACACACACACACACACACACACACTCACCCCCTCAAGGGCACCCTGTTTTCCTTGCAGAAGGAGAAAGATAGATGGGGTAGCAGACAGGGAAGACGCATCAGGTAGTTGGCTGCCCAGAATATGAAAGCTTTGTTAATATGGGGGCAGACTGCCAGCTCCTAGTAATTCTTAAATGAACTCCTCTAGCTCCCTCCTCCAATATCAGCACAACTACTTCTCCTTCATGTAAGAACAGCACTCAAAAAACTGTATGTGAGCGCTAAGACAGTTTGACCAGTTACAGGGTTATTAACAGAGAACCTCGACCATTACTCGACGAGAATTACTCAGGGTAAACAAGATGCAGGAGGAGTGGCAATACTCACCTCTTATGAAGAATGACAATGACGGTGGTAATTAGGATAACAAACAGCAACAATAAAACTGTCCCTCCAGCCACGAAGAGGATGTATCGGTTATCGGTTTCACCTAGGAGAAAAAAATTATTGTAGGAATTAGGAATAAAGCCGGAAAAAAAGGAAGGTGGGAAAATGAGGAACAGGTACATCAATCATCTTAGAGTTACAATTGAAAACAAAGAATCCAATAAAAAATAAGACAAGATAAGAGAAAAAGACAATTTTTCTTTTAGAGTCTCCTAAATATTTCTGACTCCTCACAGATTTTTATTAGTTCCTTGATTCAGTTGGGCTTAACACCTTAAGAAGAACAAGAACAGAAAGAGTGTATGTTCAAGACAGATATTACTTCATTCTAATGAGCTCCCGGTTGCATACACAAAATCTTTTGTAGAAAAAATAACTATCAAAACCGTATGTAAATGAAGATTACTTCTTAAGTCTGATCTATTGCGCACATTAAATGCACAACAGTATGCAACTTTGATGTTTATAAGTAGAATTTTGTTTTTTTTAAACAGTTTTTTATTTATTTGTTTATTATTATTTTTTTTTTGTGAGGAAGACCAGCTCTGAGCTAACATCTATTGCCAATCCTCCTCCTTTTTATTTTTTCCCCAAAGCCCCAGTAGATAGCTGTTATGTCATAGCTGCACATCCTTCTAGTTGCTGTATGTGGGACGCGGCCTCAGCATGGCCGGAGAAGCCGTGGGTCGGTGCGCGCCCGGGATCCGAACCCAGGCGACCAGTAGCAGAGCGCGCGCACTTAACCACTGAGCCACGGGGCCGGCCAAGTAGAATTTAGTTTAAGAAATATTTTCTTCTCAATTGGAGTTAATCATAAAACATAATCAGGAAAAATACGTTACTGCAATTCAGTGCTTAAAGTGGAAAGAACAATGGTCCAGGAATGTGAAAATCCCATCCTGGTTCTTTCACTATTTCCTTGTTCGACCTCCATCTAATTCCTTGACCTTCTCTGCATGCCTTTCTTCATCTGTCAAGTGATGACAACGCCAACAGTTCTAATTATATCTCAGAATTGTGGTAAGAATCTAATGAGGCAATATTCAAAGGAGCAATGAACTACTAGAGAAATGTCCCTCTGGAGCGTGATCCCAATGAGGTCAGAGACCATTTTATCTTTAAAATGTCCTCCTGCCCATGGCATATCTCACTGACCACCCACAGAGCTCCTTCCACAGAAGAAACTCCATCTACACGTGCTGTTGACCAGAAAGGGATTGAATTGAAACCTAGGAGCCCTCTGAATTGCCACGTCTCTTTGGGACAGCAAACTTGCCTGTGTCACCTCCTACAGGAAGGGAGCAGGCCACGGCAGAGAACAGTACAACCTCCCTCCCTCTTGAAATTAAAGCTAAAATGCTCATACGCATCCCCAGGCTGTCTGAAACCCTATGGCAACCTAAAAATCATGCTTCTCAATGGATTCTTCCCAATCTTTTCCTCAGATTATTTCTTCCTTCCTAACTCACTATTTAGCTGAGATTTTTTCATGATAAGAGCTCAAAGTCTACATCCACTTGTTCTTTTGTAATCTCTAGTGCAAAGGGAAACTAAGTCAAATAAACATTATTTTTATTTTTTAAATTTGTTTGACTATAAGGTGAATAAAAGCAGAAAAACATGTGAACACTTTAAAGACTTTGTACATGGAGTCTAAGAATGGCCTTTGTCCATATATGATGGGGAGTGGGAAAGCTAAATTAATTCAGAACAAAAATACATTGAACCTCCACTACAAAAGAAACAATGAGATTTTCTCCCCATCAAATAAGAAATTAAACTTTTTAAGCTCTTGACACATCATAAAAAATAAACAAAATACCTGAAACAATTTTGCATTACACCACAAGACTATAAAAGGACCACACGTGCCGTTCTGAAATAATTTAAATATAGTAGATGCTAAGGTTAAATCAATCAGGTAATCATAGTGAGAAAATTAAAGTTATGATTAAAAAATTCATTGACAGTATTCTAGGAAAATTGTTTACTTTTCAAATGCTATTTAGATCTTTGTCTTGTAAAAAAAAATATCTGGGCGGACTAGAGACCTAAATTTTTTCATGTAAACATTAGAAGAAACTATAAGTAAATATTATTTAATCTCTGGAATGAGAAATGACTTTCCAATTTATAAAAATAAATCAATATATAGGATTGACCTGGTCAAAAGGAAAAATATCTGTAGGTCAACATTATCACAAACAACATGCAAAGACAAACAAAAAAACTGGTTAGTATATTTAACATATCGTAGCTATTAAGAAAAAGCTATATAAGACAATAAGAAAGATACCAATAACTTAATAACTAAAAGCACTTAAAGAATAAGTTTGTATAAAAGGAAGACCGTGGGGAGATAGACATCTCAAGCTCTATTGGGAGCAGTGAAAACGGCTACAATCTGGATCCATACAGAAATGGGTCTCCGTGTGTCAGACCCTTTCACTAGGTGCTTGCACTTCTGATTAATTACTTTATTCTAAAGAAATACTCAGAAACGTGAACAAAGAGTTTTGTGAAACATTTGTAACAGCAAAAAGAAAATCCTTATTTCCCAACAGTAGACTAATGAGTAAGACTACACAGCTGTGGTTCTCAAACTTAATTTGCATCAGAATCACCTGGGGGCTTGTTAAAGCACAGATTGCTGAGCCCCTCTCAGAATTTCTGATTCAGTAGGTCTGGGTGGGTTCCAGAATTTCCAGCTCCCATATGATGCCTATGTTGCTGGCCAGGGAACCACTCTTTGAAAATCAGAGCTACAGACACCAGAACGAAGTGTGTAAAGAATTCCAATGAAATGGAAAACTGCCGACTATAGACATAAAGTTAAGTAGAATTTCAAAACCAGAATTCACAATTGCACATGCTATCATATCTCAATCAAGCATAGATTTTACGGAGAAAAAAGCCTGCAAGGCAACAACATGCCAAAATTTTTAATTGATGATCTTCAGGAAGTAGAATTAAAAGCAATCATTTCCTTAGGCTTTTTGGTATTTTCCAAACTTTCTAAATGATGCCTTGCTTTTATTAATCAGAAAAAAAGAATAGTACAAAAATTTAAAGTTCTGGATGCTTGAAACAGTATAATTTGCCAAATTTTAGTGGTTATATTTAAAGTGCACAATGTAAAGAACTTCTTTGTAGAAGTATCCTCAGAATCCTTAAGAATTAAGATGGCATTCTTTATTAAGCTCTAAATTATATAAATTAAAAAGTAGAAACCACTGAAAAGTATGGCCATTTGTTTCACACTGCTTAATTATAAATGCAAATTTCAAATGCATTCTTTAATGTGAAATATTTTACTTCTTTCTAACCTCTTCTAGTAATGTTTGACCTGTTGGAGTCAGATCTGTTTATCCATTCATCTTTTAACACATAGTATTTCAAGGCATACTATGTACCTGGCATTATAGACAAAATGGTGAGTAAAAAATCTGGTACCTAAAGGGAAAACACCAGTAGATGAAAACTGTCTTTCTACTCATAACACTTCTGACACTAAGTTCCCCAGAGCTGGCACAGACCCTACAGGTTAAGGGTTCAGTCCCACAACACTGCCTGTGCCCCCTGCAGACTCTAATCATAAGTCCAGGCCTCTTGCACTTCTGACCACCCAGCTATAAATTGGAGGTTCTCATGATCCCCTCCTCAGTTCAGTAATTTGCTATAACATCTCACAGAACTCAAGGAAACACTTTACCTACTATTACTGATTTATTATAACAGATACAACTCAAAAACAGCCAAATGGAAGAGATACATAAGGCAAGTAATGGGAGGAGGGATGGTGCACATGGAGCTTCCACGCCCTCTGGGAATGCACCACCCTCCCAGCACGTCCATCTGTTCACTATCCTGGAAGCTCTCTGAATCCCATCATTTAGGGGTTTTATGGAGGTTTCATTAGGCATGATTGCCTAAATCATTGGCCATTGGTGATTAAGTCAATCCCCAGCCCATCACCCCTTGCCCCTCCCCAGAGGTCAAGGGGATTGGGCTGAAAGTTTCAACCCTCTAATCACATGGTTGATTCCTCTGGCAACCAGCCCTCACCCTGGAGCTATCTAGGTGCTTTCAGCCACCAGTCGCCTCATTAACATACAAAAAGATACTCATCACTCTGAAGATTCCCAGGGTCTTAGAAGCTCTTGTGTCTAAGGAACTGGGAACCAACACCAAATTATTATAGCAAAGATGCTCCTAGTGCCCCTGTAACTTAGAAAATTACAAGAGTTTAGGAGCTCTGTGAAAGGAACCGGGGGCAGAGACTGAACATATATCTCTTATTATATCACAGAACCTGATTTAAGGAGCTTACATTGTTTTTGAAAGATCCTGTATGATTTAAGAATACGCAAGGATCAATAAGGATCCTCCAAGGATCCATTTCTTACCCATAAGAAGAAAAGGCATAGGGGTCAGATAGAGATTCAGTCACACTCCAGAGACCTCACGGTCTACAGTTTCCCAGCCTACGGCCCAGCCCGCTTCTCATTCCTTTCCCTGCCCCACTCTGCTGGGTTAACAGGAGCATCACTTCTTAGAACCAGGGTGGTGGAACCACACAACCTGCTGGGCCCTGTATGGCTAAAAACAAAAACAAAAAGCAAATGGATATGGATGCTTTAGGGAATTAATCACTAGTTCATAATATTCACTTTCCCTAAATTCTGCTAACAGATCTGAGGTTGAGTAACGGCAGCACTCAAGCCCTTCTCTTAAAGAATTATTGTGTATTCTCAGTAGCCACTGTTTTGCTGATTTCTTTTTTTTCACTTTCATCCCAATGCTATGTTGATTCATAGGAGGACAAAAGTGTCTTGAACCATAAAGCCATTATTTTCCCTCCCATCAAAAAAGATAAACACAGTTAAAACAATTTAAAGCATGTCACTGAGATATATAAATGAATAATTTACTCCAGGACTGTGACCCTCCAGCCTACGTTTCTGCCAATGACAAGTATTTATGGCTGAGTTATAAACCCTTAGAAAGGCTCATGATAGAAATGCTGCCAGGTCCTTTCCTCAG